ATGTCGCTGATTTGACAATGTTCTTTATGTTCAGAAAGTCCCCCGAAAAGCTTTCAACGCCCCAGTTTTTCCCCTCCGCTCGCGAAAGGTGGCTCAACTCATTATGCAGTAATTTAAAATGACTTTGAGCTGTTAGCGGGGAGAAAACAACCTTGGAAGTCGCTTTAAAGGGTTGGAAAAATGCTTCCTGTTCCATTAAATATTTAATATTTTTTCATTAGCAATAAAGTCAAATCCCTACTGTAGCAGTGCCTTCCGGATAATTTACCTTAATTTATTAATAGAGATATACGAGGAACCCGAAATGATATCGGCTATACCGATATTATTGAAATATCTGATTGGTTTTAAGAAACTTTTCACTTTGAAAGCAGATAATACAAACGCTGGAAGAAAGATCATTTAAAATATATCAATTTATCATTGTAGTGGATTTAATATCGTTTCGATATTGATGAATACATTTGTTTCCTTCTTTAATTCAGAACAGTCCATTACTTTTAGTTGCCTGCCAATCAATTTCCCAACGTTCATGAAAATTTAATAACAAGTCCATATTGAATTCCCTGCCAATAGCCCATAGATTTCGCCCCAATTGACCCGGGGATACCTGTTGCTTGGAGTTTCGCATGGTCGATTGCCAATCTGTGGCAATTATTTCATCCCGGGAAAACACGAACTCCCCTATTATCGTTTTCGCATTGTTTATGCCTCGATGGGAAAACGAGTAAACAAACATGGCTATAAATAAGCGGCTAATAAGGATAATTGCCTGCTTTACAAATTGTCGCAAAGCGGGGAAGACGAAGACAAGAAACCGCACACAGACAGAAAGCAGCACATCTACAAGTCAAAATAGTAATAAATTGCCAGAGAAAATTGCGTGGAGCGTGGGGAGAAAAACCGAGCCGCAAAAGCGAAACATATGGACAAGGATGCCTTTGGAGGTCCTTTGAATTTTATGTATGTGCAAAAAGCGGGTGGCGAAGAGGGGAATACGAAGACAGACATTCTTATTTATGGTCGTGCGGTGCGGCAAATTAATAATGCGACTTTTCTCATTTGTTTGCCGTTTCGTCTGTGACGCTTGTCCTTCTATGTAAATGGGACTTTGTGGCAGGAACTGCATTTAACCCACAGCTGGGAGTCCAGGGTGTATAAATAACAAAAAAACAGAAACAATTTGCAATGGAAATGCTGATGATAATGTGGTTCCCGAAGCCAATAACGATGATGATGATGATGATGATGATGAGGTGGACAAAGTCAAGTCAGCCTGTCTGACTTCCTTTTCCACATTTGGCCTCATATGGCTCCGAGGGTTTCCTTTGCCCCAAAATGCTAATGAGCAAAGTCAAGGAATTCTTACTCTATTTTCTCTGACTTTTCCTCCGACTTTCCTCGAAGTGTCGCCCCTTCAGGCAGTTGGGAAATTTATTGCACACTTCCTGTCGCTCAGTTTGTTTTTCCTACTCCCCTTCAATTACATGCAATTTCTTCTGTTTTTTTATTGCATCCCGCATCGATCCGACGCAGAATGTGGCGTGTGATTAACGGGTGCGATTCGCCGAGTCCTTCAACAGGACAGGCCGACATCCTCCTCTTCAGGCCTGCTATTCCGCTGTTCTGCCGTCCTGCGCAACATTCTTGGCCCCAAACTATCGCACTTTAACTCATCTTTTATTTACTCGAGTGCCGAGACAAACCCGCAACGGCGACGCACTGGCGCCCCCTCAACATCGGGCCAAATTACACCAGCGAACAACATGAACGGGCCATGTCAAGAGGCAGCAACAACACGAAATTACAACAATTAAAACGGGGGGAAACCGTAGCGAAGGCACACGTATATACACTCGGTTATATGTGCAAATGACATGGGCGACAATGCAGCTCTATTTAATATACACTGGTCGAAATTAAGCCGTTTTTTCTATGTAGAAAAGTGGTTTTAATTTTCCAAAAGAATAACCGTTTTCTTGTTAATATATATATATATATAATATTAATATACTATACAAAAGATAGCAAATGTTACGATAGCATATAAAACAAGATGTCCTTCATTTTATTCTATCAAATTATTTTTAATTGTGGTGATTTTTATTTTGTTCTTTTCAAATACATGAATTAAGAACTATAAACAATTGACACCCATTCAATTTATTGTTTGTGGCAGAAAATACACATGCTCTGCTGCACGCGAACAAATTGCAATCATAATTTTCTGAAATTGCCTATCTTAATTGGCTACATCGAAAAGTGCATACCATTATTTATCTGTGATGCAAACAACAAATTTAATACAATTGTTTTAGAGCGATTGTTTTGTGTTTGTGTACAACTTCCGATGCGGCATTTGGCTCTCACCCTTTTTCCAACTGAATTGTGTATGTGCTTTTAATTATTGCCATGAGATGGGGTTGTCGCTTCACTTTTATTATTCTCCTGTTACTTGCAATGTTTTCCTCCGACCAACAGCCCTCATATGGGGCCACGCCCCGCCTCAACTTGGCTTCAACGCCCACATTAACAGCTACATTGAGCACTCTGGCAAGTGACAGCTTTTAATTAAATAATTGACTATGCTCCGACTATCTGCCTGTGTTCATTTGTTTGCTTTCATCTCCCAGATCAGTGAGACAAAAAGGCAAGCAACGAGATGTGGATGGAGTCCTCGGAATAGACATGTTTATTATGCTGGCTAAGCCGTCTGACAGTCGAGAGTTCATTGAAACTTTTCGACTGCTGGCTGACTTTTGTGGCTCATCATCAGAAGAATGCCGAACAGAGGAACATATAGCTGATACACAGATAAATGAGCAAAAAACTATAATAAACAGCATTAGTTATGCGGGTCGCTAAACTTTGCTCCCGAAACCAATAGTAAATGGCCGGGACCCTCGCTTTCATCCACATCGCTGTCCGATGGATATAAATTTAAAATGTATTCCGTTAAAGGAGTTCTCTGAACTCGCAATGTGGCTCTGTCCAGGGTTATCCACCCCCCTTCTGACCGCAAAGATAAGGCGGATTTCGCGATTTATGATGCCACAAACGAAAATTGCAACGCAGAATGTTCCCCACCCGGTCATAATATCTTTTTGTGCGTTGTTCGGAGCACTGGCATTGATTTCAGCCAAACGTCTTCCGTTAATTGAGTCGTAAAGGCGGTGTTATTGATACCTCATTAGGCAGACTGATAAACTCGGCGTATGCGCAATATTCCAGCTCCTTAAAGAGCCAGCGAAACTTTAAGCCAAATGCGAGATTATGTAAGTCCTGTCAGCTGCTTCTGACACTTGCCTCTCGAATTTGCGCCACTCAATCGAGTGGACAACCCAGCGGTAGCAGCAACAACAATAACCTTGGCCACAAAAGGACAAAAAGGGCAGGCAATTGGGTTTTTCACCCAATGCGGGCTTTCTCAAACAACAACAAAAAGAATATTATATATGTACATAAAAGCTTAATTAAAATTTTATGATTATCATTTGGAATTCATCTGTTTACCTTTCAGAGGTCAGAGTTTAATAAGCGAAAACAATCTCGAAACGAAAACAATTCTGCTTTGTGTGTTGATTAAAGTCTACAAACTACGGCACAGCATTTGTTTTTAATATATTTTCCAAATTATTATGACATGAGATAAAACCAAAAGTATTATGCTTAAAGTACCTATTATCTCAAGTATCTGCAACAAATACAAATTTATTCTAACTACACAAAGGCTGCATCGTTTGGAAATTGTATTATAATTACAGCCAGACAAAATAATATAAATTAAAATAGTTCATAATTCATAGCAGACTCTCACTATTCGCAGTTTGGCTTCCGCAGCTCTGCATATTTTAGCGCGCTTATTAAATGAAAGCCCCACTGGCGCCATTTGTTTATGTTTTAATTAGGTGGCTAATGGTGACAGAAGCCCCCCATTTTGCATTGAGCAAATAATCCTTCTTCAGCAGCAGCGACCTGCAACACTCCCAAAAGACGGCACGTATTGCAGCTGCCTTTTTGGCCAAGTCAAGTGGAGTGAAACGCTTAGGCCACGTGCCAACAGCACAAAGAGTTTTCTCCTCCGTTCCCCCGGGGCCCATGTCGCCTTAAAAGTGTCGCCATTCAGCTTTATTCGCTGTACGTGACTGGCAACGACTTGGAAAAGTACGGATATTTTTGAAATCTGTACAAATATATGTTTATAAAAATAAATTTGGGTAGGCCACACATGAAGCACAGTAACAGTTTAACGAAACTTGACGTCCGTGTTGTGTTGAAACAAATCGTTTCACGAAACACAAGCAATAATAATAAAGGAGGACACAGAAAACAGAAAACGGAAAGCTATTTGGCAGTGATGGATTTTTGATAAATGGACGGGCATTATGACAAATATGCAAAAAATCCAATGACAAACTGACCAACGGAAGAGCCACACGAAAGGCGATAAAATCCGAATCAAATAACGCCAAACAATGTCAGTCAAAATGAGTGGAGTGGCAGGGCCATATAGGAACAGACAGCAAATAATTGACAGCAGCAGGAAAAAAGTGCAATTAGAGTGAGGGCTGTGTACACTAAAAAAAAAGCAAAAATAAACTGCTATTCATCCCTACAATTTTTTCATAGCAAGGTCACATAAAACTCACATTATGGAAACTGAAAATAATAAAGAGTCAACAGAAATATCGAATATTGTGTGACAAGAATTTAAAAACAAAAGCCGATTTTGAGTTCCTTATAATCCATAAAAAGAAATAAACTAAAATATATCTGTAAAAGCTTAATAAAAATGTATTTGTTTATACCATAATTTTTTTGTTAAATAAACTGACATTTTGTATTCTTTTGTGTACTCCACATTGATTGAATTATTTGGGCTAGTGAATGCACAACACTGCGTATGCGCAATATCAGTGCCAATCAATTGTTTTGCATGATTTCACTTTCACTATTTCTATTTTAATTTGTGCCACTGATTTAAATTAAATTTTACCCAGAAAGACATCATAAAATTCCATAACGAAATAATGGATAATGTGATTTAAAGTCAAATTAAATAGTGAAATATTTAAAATAAAATATCAATCAAATACAAATTCAACTGGCGTACGTCGACAAGGCAAATTATTTCCCACGGTTTCGTAAAATGCATTTCGAGACATAACACAATTCCACCGATTTACCGAGAGCGTGCTGATCAGAATCGTTTAAAAATGGGCGACACATTGGACGAGACGCTGCCCACGCGCCGCGACAAACCGCAAACATTGAACATTGGCCAGGAGGAGGAGCAGGGTACCGCACCCGCCAACGTTCCCCCCGCCGCCTCCTCCGCCACCCCCGCCATTCCCGCCTCCCGTCTACCGCGCAACCGGTTGCGCCACGCGGTTCGCGACCCCAAACGCGATCACTCGAGCGACGGCCTGGTGTCCAGTGGCGAACGGCGGGACGAGTTCGTGGGGCTCGAGGCACAGCCGCGACGGGAGAGTCTGAATAGCGGCGAGGCCGGCAGTCCGGTGGCCATGTCGACCAGTCCCGGCAAGGCGGGACGGCTCAACAGCTCCAGGTACCCGTCCGGCGGCACCGGCGGCATCGGCGTCAGTGTCCTGGGCGGCCTTGTGGGCACCACCACCCGCAAGTGCGTCCTCACGCTGGACGGGTACTCCTACGTCATAGGTAAGTGGCCGCAAGTCGGTGGATGGGTTCAAAACATTCGTGGAAATTGTGGAACATTTTAAACAATGCTTTAACCACTTTGGTAGTTGTGAAAACTTTTACAAAATAAATACTTAAACAATACTTAAATGCTTTGGAACAAACCTAAATGAATGAATTTTTAAATTAAATCGTTGGTAAATAACTTTTTAATAAAATTTGTTATATTCTTTTAAATATTTTTAATATAATCATGAAGAGTGAAAAAAAGTAACAACATATTTAAATAAAACTCAAGTTCTTGCTTTCATATTTAAAACGTTAAAAAGAAGATTAAAATGTTGTTTGTTTTATTGTTTTAAATATTTTTAATACTACCAAGAAGAATGGAATTCCAATTCTTGCTTACATAATATGTAATACATATTAAATGTTAAAGACAACAAGATTAAAATAGTAATAAAATACATTCCTTAGAATATTTTTCATGAGCTTTGAAATTTTAAATTTTTAGTCAAATTACTAGGCAAATTAAAAATTATTTTATATAAAATAAGAAGGTAATAAGAAGGTCTTGCATTTTAATGTCACTGTGCCCCAGTAAAGCATGTTTTAGACCAGAACAAATAGGATGGGTGCCTTTATTTATGAACCAAAAAGAATGTGGAGAAAAAGGTCACCTTGAATAGAAGCTGGCCTTTGTTTCCGTCTTTGGCCACCCCTCGCCTGAACTCCTTGAACAATGGGGAGAACCAAGGCTGAAGGAGTCTCCAGCTCTAGTTTTAATTTCGAGCTACTCATTTTTCTTCTTGATACTCATAAAATAATACGTGTATGTGCGGGTCTGTAACTTATTTTTCTATCATTTCATTGCAGGTAAGTCAATTCAAATGGCAACAAAAAAGCTCCACAAAAAGAAGCAGATTGAGGGTAATTCTCTGAAGAGCAGGTACGTTCGTGGCTCGTTGCAGCATTAAATTGAAAATGAAATTGAATTTCCAACGAGTTGGGGCTATTATAAAAGTTATCTCCTCTTCTTCCCATGCCACCCGGGTAGCAACAATTCATTTAGGATTCCCGTTGGCCCGACCTGTGTTGAGGTAAAAATTTATGAGAAACTTTTTATGCCTGCTGCATATGCCACGCAGATTTCCTGGCCACCACCGCTTAGATTCCCAGCCAGTTGCGTACATACGGAGGGAAAATGTAAAAGGCTATTGCCAGGTAAACAAGGTTCGGGCCTCGTCCATTTTGAGTGGCAGCCGTTCTGGCCAGGTTTGATAGCCGCCTTCTGTTGGCCATATGTACGAAGTACGATGTCCTTCCGTTTCCTTTGCACCACCCTTTTAGCATAGCTTACATGGCTGCGGGTCGGGTGTGTTTTGGCTAATAAACTGGCCAGGACCACAATGTATGCTCCAAGTGCAGGCCCGTTGCAGATTAAAATTCATGAATCGTATTTGGGAGGAAACGAATTTGCCAGGCAACGATGGAGTGCATCAGATATTCCACAAAGTACGCATGCAATTTTGAGTTTCTTTTAGTCAAGAGCTTGGGAAAATGGAAAGGCATTCTCGTCGGATTTGGAAAGCATTAGATTGATGTCTGTTTTAATTTCAAATTGGTTATTATTTCTGTTTATCAAGCTTGCAAAAGAATCCATATTTATATTTCTATGGAAACTGTTTCTTTCATAATTCAATAGTAACTTTAATAACTTGAACTTTAATATTTAATATGTAGGTATGTCTTATATTGTTAAACATATCACTTAATAAACATTTACATTGGTTATCAGTATCAGCATTTCTTATTTGTCTTACTCAATTTCAACTCGAAGAGCTGAGCAAATATATGTTGTAGTGAGGACTTTATACTTTAATTCCTTTAATATTTTGAAAATCCTTTCATCCTTTAAATCTTATCCGCCTGTTAGCCATCGCATTCATTTTCCGTCTCCACCGAAATAGTCGGCAGACAAAAATTAAACATTGGGCCAGAATACTATTGCCAATTCTTTGCGCCCAAGGTCAGGTCCGTGCCCCACAGCCCCTCTGAGTCCTCGAATGTCCTGGCATGTCCCGGGGTGGCTCGTTTGCCCGGTCACGTAGCGGCCACAAATCGTGCGGCGATTTTGAGACAAAGCCAGGCCACGTCGGGCTTGAACCCCAGTCCCAGAAGCCACGCCCCCCGATTTCGGGGCCTTCTTTTGTGCCTTTTTAGCCAAGTCGCTTGGCGGCCGCCTGTCCTTTGGCTTTCAATTTATGGGCGCTGCAATATTTTGCAAATATCCGTAGCATATCCTGCGGCGACAGCGCAGACAGCATTGCAATAAATAGTCCAGAGTTCGCCGGAGTGTGAGTGTGTGTGTGTGTGTGTGTTGAGGATTGGGTGAGTGTTTGGCTGGAAGTGTCCTTCAATTGACATATTACACTTGTTGTTGGCCTGGTCGCGGCTGTTTTGTCTTTCGCCCGTTTACTGGTTATGGCCCTCGATTTGTTTGCGCCGCCTCTGGAAGGGGGCGTGTCTGACATGGGGGCGTTGGAGATGGATGGTCCTGTACTGCTCCTGTCTGCTTAAAGGCACCGCTTGACTGATCAAGCATTCGTCCGACAAGTTGGACGCATCGACAACATCGACCCACTGGCAGCAGTCTAATTGATGTGCCGGCAGACAGCAGATGGTACTTCTCCTTATATTAATAATTTTTGTTGTCCCTACCCCCTTGCCTCGTTGAGAAAAGGGTTAATTGGCTCATTTAGCTTGTGGTTCAACGGGTTTTCCATTGGCCACGGGCTAATTTTGGAAAATAAGTTATAAGTAATTAAATTTAGTCAGAACAAAGGAAGCAGAAAAGGGAGCCATTAATGAAAGTCGATTAAGAAAACTTTGAGTTTCAATAGACCTAAGAGTTATCAGCTAAATTATAATTGATGATAAAAGGAATATTTATTTAATATTATTATTCTATTTTTATACCCTTGCAGAGGGTATTATAATTTTGGTCAAAAGTGTGCAACGCAGTGAAGGAGACATCTCCGACCCTATAAAGTATATATATTCTTGATCAGGATCACCTCCTGAGTTGATATAGCCATGTCCGTCTGTCCGTCTGTCCGTCTGTCCGTCTGTCCGTCTGTCTGTTTCTACGCAAACTAGTCTCTCAGTTTTAAAGCTATCGGATTGAAACTTTGCACACACCCTTCTTTCCTTTGCACGCAGTATATAAGTCGGAACGGCCGGGATCGGCCGACTATATCCTATAGCTGCCATATAACTGATTGATCGGAAATGCCATAACTTTCGTGTTTGTAAAGTTAGGAAGTTGGGATTTTCTATGGGTTTTATATTTGGCCAATCAATCCGACCTACCAAATTTCATAAGGATCGGCCGACTATATCCTATAGCTGCCATATAACTGATTGATCGGAAATGCCATAACTTTGTTGTTGTTAAAGTTAGGAAGTTCGGATTTTTTATGAGTATTAAGAATGCATCATATGAATAATTTTGGAGAATATAATTTACAGAGTATTCTGCAAGGGTATATCAACTTCGGCTCCGCCCGAAGTTAGCTTTCCTTTCTTGTTAATCCTTACATTTATTTATCCCATTTGTTGACAAAATCATCGGTAGTATCATTCAAAGGTTCTTTTTATACAAAAAGTACGTTTTACATTAATGAAATTTCTTTGTTTTATTTATTTTGTTGCCAAAAAAAGAAAATGTGATATGGGTAAATTATAAATTTAAAAAACCAACGTCTTAAAGTCATATCTTATAGGTTGACTTAAAACATCCACTTCATTTTCAATCATATTTTCACAATTTAAACATTTTATTTTGACGGATTAGGCACCAACTGATCCCCAGGGACTCCAAAAAAGGAAAGAAAACGTTTCGCAAAAAGAAACCACTCAGTTATAATTTAACCCAAATTAACGCTTAACACAGGGAACTTTTCACAACTTCAGGGTAGAGTCCCTGGACATAACTTCCAATCGTGAATTACCAGAATCCGTGGAATACTCTCAGGCAATGGGAACCGCATAGCTGAAATGCCTTGACCTGCCAGCGCTTCGTACTTCAGCCTTTCTGGCCAAAAGCGACAAGGAAATTTAATAAAATTTGCATAAATACCGCTCAAACAGAAAACGCTCAAAAATTCTCCGAATGCTAAGGAATGCGACAAAGGCAGAGCCCCACCCACACACACACGCACATAAAGTTTTATTGTCATGTGGGGGGGGGGGGTTCTTCATTGAATTTTGTGCCTTGGCCAAAGCATACTTTAAAGGATAATATATGCATCTGTTCTCTGTCCTTTTTGTACCCCCTGTGTTTTCTTTTATGGCAATGGCCTCTCAATTGGCAATCAATTTGCCTTAGTCTCTGCGGACCAACTTTTTCTTTCGAGTGTCAGCGACAGCCATAATAATAAAAGAAAAAAGGCTTAAAATCAATTTTCGTTAAACCCTTCGGAAAACGCACAGACAAAGGCAGACATAAAAATGATTACCGATGGCCCGAACGTTGGAAATTTTTTAATTAAAACAGTTAAAAGCGGCGCCAACGACTGTCTGCAAAATGTGTGTAGTCGACAATGCCAAAAGGAACATTAAATAAGGCCAAAATGGCTGCTGCCAACAGCAGAAGCACACGCGCCGAAAGGTTGGTGAATATCTGGCGAAAAGGATGCCCGCAAGGATGTTACTCCTGGCATCAAGGTGCACCGCCTCCTGTCAGAGCTTTTCCAACATGTTTGCTACAATTTGGCTAACTAGCACAAAGGATTCAACACACAGAGCATGTGGGTGTGGGTCAGTTTGTCCTCCTTATTTGCCTGCTGTTCAAATGTCAGAGAACAAAAGCCAGACAGCGCGACGTCGTTGTCCTGTTGTCCTGGAAATTCAACAAGGTGTTCTTGCCATAATTTGCAACTCAATTTCGCCGAGATTTTTGGGGCACTTTCCTGTTAGAGGCTCTGAAGTTTGCTTAGCCCGAATGTTTCACTAAGTTAACTTAAATGTAATTTAAACTTTCTAAGTACTCTTCAGCATGCTGCGAATTCCAGTCGCTAGATAACTTTTTAGAGGTTTCAACTTTCGTTTTTTGATTGAAGTTTTAGGCTCAAAGTTTCAAAGAGTTTGGTAATGTTTTTTTAAGTGATTTTTTAATTTTAAGCCTAAATGTAAGAAATTTCCACCCGATCTGAGATTCAATGGAGCTTTAAATATAAATAAATATATGAAATGCATTTCATGTGAGGATAATCCAAACACACGTCACGGATCCCAGAACACATATCCTAGCTAATCTGAACCCTGCAGTCAATCGTTCACTCATAGAGGTCCTTGTTGTCTTTGCCAGCTTTCCGCTCTGGTAAATTTGCAGGCACTTTGCTGTAATTTCATTGGCATATCCGGTTTCTGATGCTGGTGGTTTCTGTTGCCAAGGCTTCTGTCATTGGCCCAACTAGTGAGCTTCGGAGGATGCCTCCTGTTCGGAGGCACCAAAGCGTTAAATCCTAGAGACGCCTGCCAACTGCGGCAGTCCTTGCAAATCGCGAAACTATTTGAAAGCGGCAACAAATTGAATAAGAACGATTGTTGACACTTTTCCATTCACTGCTGAACTCACTCACTTCAAATTCTCTCAGGCAGAGATAATTTATCAAGTTTTCTAGTCTTCAAAGTGCAGCTAAAAATAAAAAGTCGCTTCCTTCTCCGGGATTTGTAAAGTGATATAGAGGGATGCAGTTTCTGTCGCAGGATAACACTTACATTTATTTGCCTTTCGCCATCGCATAGTTCAAACGCTTAGCAGGAAGATAAGTGTTTTTACAGACGTTTGAATGGAGCAAAATCTCAGATATTTAATGGGACTGCAGGATGAGCGGAGCAAGTCGAAGTAAGGAGAGGACATTGTGGATAAATATTGTCCTTCTTTGTTTAAACAAAGTAGCTTAGATGTTGCTAAGCTCAGTTAAAAAATTGGTTAATTCAATCTTCTTAAATTAAAATGTAAGTGTCTGAAATATAAATTATTACCTAAGAACAAATATATAGAAACAAAAGGCGACCAGAAAACTTACAACTTACAACTAATATATTTATCTCTATATTTACCAATTATTTAAACAAAAAAAGGTGGATAATTGTGTTGCCATTAATTACGTTTATCCTTAAAAATGTATAATTATTAAGTATTAACAATGTAAGCTATATCGTAATCACTGTAACCACTTGGAAATCAATTCCCCATCATAGTCCGTTGCAAAAAGTAAAAACCCATCTATCACCAACGCCCCCGCACTTTTCTTGCCACATGACAGATCCGCCGGTAGAGGAAATTAAATTTGCAAATCCCATCGGCCACATTCACGAGTCGTTAGTCCCGGACAACTGTTAATGACATTTAAGCCAATGCTCGATTTATTAATTAATTAATCAATCAATCAATCAGCCAGTGAGGATACACATAAAGGGAGAGCCCGGGGAATGCCAAAAATCAATCAGAACCGATGCTGATTGAAGTTCACTTTGGTCCATTTGTGACGCCACAAGTTGTAGACCAAGAGTGCGACCAGAATCACATTGGCCGACTTGATGAGCTGCTTAACCAAGGCGCGACGCTGTTCACTAAAAACAGGAACATTAAAACTTTCATTGGCCTGAAAGAATTGTCTTAGGGCGGAACTTACCTCATTACCGTCGAGCTCCGTTCTCTTAACACAATCCCGCCTCTGGGGGGCAGATTAAGTCCAGAGGCCTCGGCCAAAATGCTGTCGCTGAATTATTCAAATAGTTTATATTTAATACTTCACTCGATTCCGTAGCAGGCGGGGAGGGGGGAAAAGAAAACGATGGGAAACGCAGCGGGGCATAAAGACAGCAAAATATATATATATTCTTAATCCGGTGAGAGCCTCTGTTCAACGTGGCGTACTGGCAATGAAATGTTTAAACTTGTGTGAATCGGTTAAGCCTCGAACAATTTTTAATTTACTTTCGTTAAACTGAAAGTAAAATTATCGCTTAAAGCTTTTAGTTTTAAATGAAGGTGGGAAAATGTTTTTAAGCCGACATTTAACTCTTAAGCTGATAAGATTGTATCTTTGTTAAGCTTTTTATATATTATATATTATCATTTCCCTTTAAGAAATGTTTAATTAAAAACCTGTAAAACGAATTTATTCATGAGAGTTGGTTAAATAATAACTAATTTAAACGTACAAATTTAATAGAACCTGAAACAATTTCCTTTAATTCACCAAAAATTTCTAACTTCTTGTCCAAACAACTGGCAATTGTTGGGGAAATGTTTGTGCAAGCATCGAGCAATCAAAAGTTTCCCCAAACTTTGCGATAGTTGCCATTCGCAAACATTTAATTCAGTTATTAAAGGCAATTTAAAAACTTTTGCATGTGATAGTTTATGATCCCGGCTGGCGACATTTCCGAAATGGTGGGAGGAATCTGCGCCAGTTCCATAAATCTTGTCCTGTTCGTGGGTGTGTTTTCCTTCCATACATGAAAAATGACGTTGGCCAAGCGAGAGTGAAATACAAACATCAGCAGCGGCCAAGTTCTGGGCAAGTTGCCAGGAACTGGCGACGAAGTGGCCACTTTTTTCCGGTCAGGAGCCGGATCCGGTGCTCCCCCCTCGCCATCATTAGCACTTGACAGCGTTAAATTCAATCTATTCGACTTGAACGAAAACACACACACACCAGCCGCTCTACGGTCATTAATTTTCACCCATTTTGTATTCAATCGCGTGACATTTTGAACTGGAAATGCAATTAAAGGGCAGAGAGTGCCGCCATCGTGGGTAGTAATTCCTCTAATCCCGGTCCGGCTAGACCAGCCGACAGACGAGACCTTCGCGGGCGCCCAGGGACAATGCACTTGCGGCGAGGGATTGACTGCAGCGGGAGTACACAAAGAAAAGGAAATGGGGGTCAATGCGGTTTGAGCAAGATCGAAATGGTTGTTTTCCAATTCATACTAATTTCATTATTATTGTTTAGTGTGTTTAAAATACAAAATAAATATATTTTTATACCCGTTACTCGTAGAGTAAAAGGGTATATTGTATTCGTGCAAAAGTATGTAACAGCTAGAAGGAAGCGTTTCCGACCCTATAAAGTATATATATTCTTGATCAGGGTCACTAGCCGAGTCGATATAGCCATGTCCGTCTGTCCGTCTGTCCGTCTGTCTGTCCGTCAGTCTGTCCGTATGAACGCTGAGATCTCGGAAACTATAAAAGCTAGAGGATTGGCATTTTGCATGTAGATTTTAGGAGTTCCTACGCAGCGCAAGTTTGTTTCAAAAAGGTGCCACGCCCCCTTTAACGCCCACAATCGCTTATATACGATTTTAAAAATTTAAATATTTCGGAAAAGTAAAAATGCAGTTTTATTGTGTTTATCAATACCTATCGAAATGTAGAAGAAATTTTTCAAATCGGACCATTCGTTAAAAAGTTATGCGTGATCAAAGTTTCTATCTCCATCTCCCTCGCACTCCCTTTACCTCAGTAACGGGTATCTGATAGTCGGGGCACCCGACTATAGCGTTCTCTCTTGTTTTTAAAGTGCAAAAGCTCAATATTTTATTTTTACTTTCGGTATAGTTGCATTTATGGCATGATTCGATTTAAAAAGTTTCCCAGCATATTAAAAAAATTAAACTATTTATTGTTTAATTTTGTATCATGTGAACTTGAAATTGAGGATTAATTTGGTTTTAAATATTTAATCAGCTTCTAAATAATTTATAACATAATAATAATAGTTATTTAATTGTTATTTTATCATTTAACTTCGGTGATATGTTCAAAATGTTCTAGTGTTCCTTTAGAATATCTATATATTTTCATTGATCACATTGATCCTAGATCTTATTTTTTTTTGTGTAAAGCGGGATATGAATAACCGGAAATCGAAGGGGAAACTTACCCAGAATGATAATTGGAATTTACTCCGGAAACTTCAACAACCAGTTTCTTGGGCTGGTTGATAAACTCCGTGAGATTCACCAACTGTTCCTTGTCGCTCACATTAATGATGGTAATTATCGTCTCAAAATTGGGATAGGACCTGCAAAATTACTTCCAAACTAATCAAATTGTGTTCTGTGTTTAATTTGGTCACATACCGCTTGAAGGCAAAGACCCAACGAGAAATTGCTTCAATGTTGAAGCGGCCCAAACGCATAATGGCCGACTTTCGCAGATCAATAAGGTCCTTGTAGACCTGATAATGGCTCTTGTTGGCTGCCATCTGGGCCTCCAGGTTGAGTTCGAGATAATTGGGGTGAACGGGCAGCCAGGTTTTGGGGGCACTGGAAAAGCCTAATCGAAACAAAAAGGACTGTGAGGTTATACGTTGCAAAATGTGTAGTTACCATATACTTATATGAATAATACAAAAAAGCCATTAAAATAAATAGCAGCCATAATAAAAAATGATTGTTGCCTACAAACAATGCCGATGTTTCCGATCGTTATTATAGCAAGTTCTTTTTTTATAAATTTGAAAACGTGTTTTTAAGCTCGCAAAAAATAAATATATATTTGTAAAAACCACGACCTTGTGTCGAATTTCCAATTATTTTACTGTTTATTTTTGTTTTCCTGTGACTCCTACATGTTATAGTCCAAAAGTTTATTGAATAAAAAACCGTAAAAGTACCTATCTTATCTTAAAGTATTTGCAAAAAAGTTTTAAAATCAGAGACCTATTTTCTTAAAATTTCGCTTTTTTTCATAGCAGCTATTGTGTAACAAAATAAAATATTTATTTTTAGGCCACCCATACGTAAATCTGTTTATAAAATTTACATTTCATAATAATATCAGTTAAGCTTGCTTACTCAAAGACTTACATTTACATTAATAGTAATAATATTTTTAATATTTTGTTCTAGACTGTGATTTGTTATAGTGATAAATGAATATTGGGTTTGATAATTGTTTAATAATAACTTACAAATATAGGTATTGAAAGATTAATGTTAGCTTACCCGCATTTTTCTTGTTGCTCCACTGGAAAGGCGTGCGGACCGGGTCCCGGGAGACCTCCTTGTAGAGCTCCTCTCCCACATTCCTGGCCGGCGGATCCACCGTATCCTGCCAGCTTATTTCCCGGTAGTCCTCCATGCCCAGCTCCTCGCCCTGGAATGCCACGGAAAATAACCAAAACTAGAGGAACCAACCCATTCAGGGCCAGGGACTCACATTGTAGGTGACGGCGACGCCGGGCAGGGTGAGCAGCAGCATGTTCATGGCGTCCACGCTGGCGGAACCGAATCTGGAGGCGACTCGGGGGTTGTCGTGGTTGCCCATGACCCAGTTGGCCGCGTGCCCGCGCGGCATGTAGATCAGCCACTTCTCCACGTTGTAGACAAAGTCACGCGCATCCGAGTCGCCTTTGACATCCGTGATAAAGTGGAAGTTGAAGGGCAGATGGGAGCCCCGAACCCCCTCGGAATCCTCGTAGTAGTCTGCCAGTTGGGTGAGTCCGGCGTACGCCTCCGTCATCATGATGCGTGTGGGTCTCTGCGGGTGCTTGGCACTGAAGTCGTCCAGAAGTTTCCGCCAATGCTGAATCAAATCCAGGACCTCGGGCAGGTCCCTGGAGTAGATGTGTTTGGTGTAGTCGTAGGAGAGCGGGTCCGTGGACTTGCCGCTCAATGGCTCGTCCATAAGAGATTCATCCTCAAAGAGATGATTCACTGCATCAATGCGAAAGCCAGCAACGCCTTTGTTCAACCAGAACAGTATAACGTCGTCCATGGCCTGAACCACTTTGGGATTGCGGTAGTTCAAGTCCGGCTGCTCCTTGGTGAACTGATGTAGGTAGTATTGCTGGCGACCCTCGTGCCACTCCCAAGCAGAACCATAGAAAACCGAAGGCCAGTTGTTGGGCGGAGCACGGGTTCCATCCTCCTTTAGGATGCCATCTTCCCACACATAGAAATCCTCGTATCCCGGCATCCTGGCAGCAGACTTCTTGAACCACTCATGCTGATCCGAGCTGTGATTGGGCACAAAGTCCAGGATAACCTTGATGCCCAAGTCGTAGGCCGTGTCGATGAGCTCCTCAAAGTCCTGCATAGTGCCGTATTCCGGCTGAATCTCCGTGTAGTCTGATATATCGTAACCGAAGTCGACCATGGGCGACTGGAAAATGGGACTCAGCCAGGTGGCCGTAATGCCGGTTTCGGCCAAGTAGGGCAACATGGAGGTGATCCCCCGCAAATCGCCGATGCCATCGCCATTGCTGTCCTTGAAGGACCTCGGGTAGATCTGGTAGAAGACCGTGTGCTGCCACCAGTCGATGAAGTCCTCCGTGTCGCTCCTCACCAGACCGCTCATTGTGGAGCCGGGATATAGCAGACTAAAAAGAAGGATTTGGATGAGTGAAGCGGGCATTTCGGCCAAGTTTGCGATTCGCTGTGTTCGAGAGTCGGCAGTTTGGCAGCCACTTTTAAAGCGATTCTGACGTATAATTAAAATAATTTTCGCATTAGTCTTTGTCTAATTATCAACTGTAGCAATTAGTGGAAGATTTTTATCAGCTCGAATCAAAACAAATTGCGGCGCCAATTAAATGAGTAAACAAAATTGTTTCTTCCAATTTTACGGCACACTGCACTCAGCAAACCAATGTGCATATATTATAGCCGGTGATGGGAGGAAAAATTTCGGTTTTTTTAATAGAAATTGTCGACTACCGATCTAGACCGAAGACACCTTGCTCACCTCAAAGAAATCAGAGTAAACTAAGCGATTTTAGCAGCTGCCGTCGATCGACTGAAAGCTTTTGTGGATGTGATTGCCACCAGCTGATCGAAAGCTTTAGGTTCACAATTGAAGCAGATCATGATGTATAGAACATTAAGGTGATAAAGAGAATATTTTGTATATACAAAATTTACCATACGACAAACCACTTTATAAAAATATTTCACATAAAAAAGAACAATAAAAATAGAGTTTCAAAGTACAAATTTAATATAAAACTAATTGCACAATAATTTATAAAATTGAACACTCCCGCTTTTCCCTAGATACTTCAGTAAAAGTAATTAAATTTGACTTAAAGCTATGCAATATTTTGTAGCTCTATTTCCATCTAGTTTCAAACACGAAACTCCGACTTTATTTACAGACTACACTTTTCAAAAGCACTGATAATTGAGGTTGCTGGGTTAGAAAATGTACTTTTGACAGCGCAAAAACAAACTAATTACTATATGAAATAACATCAAAAAATTACACAAAATAAAATTTTTTCATTACACTTTTTGCTATATAAAGTACCTGCTAATCACCTTGCTCATCTGGTTCATAACAACTGATTAAAAAAATCTATATTCAAAAAATCAACAAAACAAAGCTGGGGCATCCGGCAACCGCATTTATTTATGTCATCTCGCTAAGGAGAAATTAATTAAATTCGGCAACCATTTATCAGGTGCCCTGAGCCCCAAAAAGGGCCAAAAACCCAACGACAATTATGAATTACGACTTTCAATTCAAGTGGAGGGGTAAGCTGAAGAGAAAGTGCGGCGGAGTGAAAAGTGGAAGGGCAGACACCAAGTGCTCTCAATTCAATTAAAATGTTAGCGAAGAGCTAATGCCAACGGAAATGTGTATTGTTGTCGAATGAAATGGAAACTCGAATTAGATGGCCCGCCCGAGATACATGCAAATGCGAAAATAGAAAAGCTCCGTGGTGGCAAATGGAAAGTTTCCTCGTACTTTAATGTTGAATACCAAGTAGTGCGTTGATTACTTTCGCTTGTTCAGCTGAATGACCAGTCCCTCGTAGGGGGCCAGTTCGATGGCATCGGCCTTGAGCTTATCACCCACTCGGTGCTGAGAATCCACGCCCACCACAAGGACGTTCAGCCGATTGGGCTGATCGATGAAGTCGCTTATATCCACCTGTTCCGTGCCGTTCTTCACGTTCACGATGGTCAGCAGAGTGTACTCGCCCTTCAGCTCTCTGCAGACAAAGAAAGGAAGGTGAAAATGCATCCATTAGTAATCAGCTGAGATATAGCGAAATGTTATGCATCCAATAATTATTGATTCGAAGATAAGATTTAAACATAAAAAATTACATTTTAAGACCATGTTGTTAAATTAAAAATTATTCTTAGTACAAAATTACCAAGTAACTATACTTTGAGTACCTTAATAGTATTATATCTGAGCTAAATAAAAGAATTTTAAGTACTCACCGTTTAAAAGCGAAGACCCTTCTATTCACCACTTCGGGAACAAAGGACCCATTCTTCAGAACTGGCAGCTGTCTTAGCTTCAAAAGGGACTGGTAGATCTTGTAATGACTACTCCTCGACAGCTGTTGTTGGCGAAGATTCAGATCCTTGTAGTTGGGATTGACAGGCAGCCAAGTGCGATTGGCAGTGGAGAATCCTGCGTTGAGATCACTATTCCATTGCATGGGTGTACGTTCTGGATCTCGGGAGACCCACTTGTAGTTATCGATCCCAGATTCGCAGGCGGGCTGATCTACAGTATCGGCCCAGCTGATGTCCCTGTAATCCGTCATGCCCAACTCTTCGCCCTGAAATAGGAAAAATGCAATATAATAAACCCCAAAAAGGTTCTTTCCCATACTTACATTGTATGTAATAGCAATTCCTGGCAGTGTCATGAGCAGCATATTCATGGCATCCACACTTTTCTCTCCGAATCGCGATGCCACTCGGGGATTATCGTGATTTCCCATCACCCAGTTGGCCACATGACCATGTGGCATGTAGATGAGCCACCTGGAGATGTAGAAGACAAAGTCCGCAGCTGTCGAATTAGCGTTTAGTTCGGTGATGAAGTCAAAGTTGAAGGGGAACTCAGGTCCCTGCACTCCATTCGCGTCCTCGTAGTACTCCATTAGTTGGGATACCGAGGCGTAGCCCTCGGTCATCATTATTCTCAGCGGACCCTCGTGGGTGGCTGTGTAATTGTCCAGGAGTTGCCGCCAGTGCTGGAGGAGACCGTAATCCTCAGGCTGGTTTCTGGTGTAGATGTGCTCCAAGTAAGCCTCCGAGTTGGCATCATCGGTGGTGCCACTTCGAGGCTCATCCCTCAATTGAGCATCCTCATAAATGTAGATAATGGCATCGATGCGAAAGCCGGCAATTCCCTTGTTCAGCCAGAATAGCATCACATCGTCCATGGCTTGGATCACGGCGGGATTTCGGTAGTTGAGATCGGGTTGTCCGAAGGTGAACTGCCTCAGATAGAACTGTTGCCTCTCCTCGTTCCACATCCAGGCGGATCCGGAGAAGACCGACAGCCAGTTGTTGGGCGGGACACGAGTGCCGTTCTCCAAGAGTATTCCGTCCTCCCACACATAGAAATCCTCGAATTCCGGCTCTCGAGCAACTGACTTTATGAACCAGGGATGCTTATTCGAGCTGTGGTTGGGCACAAAGTCCAGGATGACCTTGACGCCAAGCTCATTGGCCCTGGCTATCAGTTCGTCAAAGTCCTCCAAGGTACCATATTCCGGCTGAATGTTCGTGTAGTTTGATATATCGTATCCAAAGTCCACCATGGGTGACTCGTAGATGGGACTCAACCACACAGCCGTGATTCCGGTATCCTTAAAATACTGCAACCTAGAAGTTATACCCCGAAGATCGCCGATTCCATCATTGTTACTATCCTGAAAGGATCGCGGGTAGATCTGGTAGAAGACCTCGTGCTGCCACCAATTGTATTTCGTATCCTGCTCCTTTGCCTTGTGAGCCAGGATGCCAACTAGAGCCACACTTAACAAGAAAGCTATTTTTATTACACCCATCGCGGTCAACCAACAAGCTAGTTTTCTAGTGTCATCCCAATTCGGACGGCTTTTTATACTGTTGCCGGCTTTACAATTCCGGTTATGTTTATTTGACTTGGCGATTTTATCGCTCAAATATTTGACCAATTGCTGCGACACTTTGAAAAGTGTTTAAATGGAATTATACATTTTAACTTTTTTATTCGACGAGGCTTTTATCTGGCCAGTTGACCAAACAGAGGAACTATTTCTAACATTCGAATTGAAACAATGAAAAAGTAAAACTGACGGGAAGAAAGGACGGAAGTAAATCAATACATGGTTATAGGTACTTTTGTAAATTGCATTGTGCACACAGCACTTTTATAGTTAAAGTGCAGTATGGATAAGGGTGATCAAATAAAAAAAAACAACTTTATTCGCTTGTTAAAAAAAAATAATTAATATGGACTTTACATCGTCAATATCTTATTAATTAGTAAATGGAGAAAGGCAGTAAAATATTTTAAGCATTAAATAAACTTAAAATAAATTTATTTCCTTAGTAATACATTTTAAAAAAAAGCCTATGATCCCATATGTAATTTTAGGCCAAGACATTATAGTTTTGAAACGTTTAATTTCTTAAATTAAATGACTATTTTAAATGAAATGACTATTAATTAACATGAAATTGAAATTTAATATTAAGTGTACAAAATTTTCTAAAATAAATTACTTATTATTTTTACTAAATACTAATTATAAAACATTTCAATTTTACAAACATGAGCCAAGGGAAAAAAAATTATAATAATAAATACATGTTCATTTTTATGGTATATGTGTTCTACAGTGACTTTAATTAGTCAGTTATAATTAAATTTCAGATTTCAAGAGTTTTAATGAATTAAAATAAAACCAAATTACATTGTATTTATCAGAATTCACAAAGCACACAACCTCAGAAAAACACATTAATTATACGCCAATTCAGCTTTCTAACCGCAAACTTCCGTTGCGTGACCAAATGGAACTTTGTTGAGCCCCCAACCCCCGCTTTTCACCCAATCCCCTGGAGATTTCCACCAGGCTGAGTCTGGCAGCTTAATTAAACATTTTAACAGCGGGCCACAAAGGTCTGCCATTGTTTATGGATGCTGCGAGTGGTCCTTGTTGTCTAGAAGTGTATTGGAAATTCGCGCACAAATATGTGCTGAAATCTTCACGTGCAACCCAGCAGACTCGGCATAATTTCGCCGCTTTCACCGCGACATGAAAAGGGTTTGACACGGGGCGTGGCTGCTCGCATAGAGATTCCTTTGCCGGCGAAATCAAAGCGAAGAAAATTCAGTGTAATTTTGAGGCCGCACCCCCGGGGAAATGGGCGGGGTGAAAGTGAAAAGTTAAAGCGAAATGTTTTAGGGGATCCGAATCTCCGCCGAAGCCCGGCTAATCCGCCGCCTGTCTCCCCAAACTGTGCCAGCTCTCACTCATCTGTCTCACCTGTCTGTGGTCCTTGGCTCCTTGCAGGACATCAGGGTTTACCTTTCATGTCGCGACGCTGATTGAATTGCCTTTACGCGGGTTCAGGACGAGGACGAGTTTTTTAGGGGCGGCAGAAGCCTTTTGTGTAAAAACATTCTGAGAAGGGGAAATTCTTTTTTAGAGCACTTTTCAATTTGGCTCTCAGTCTCCCCCAGCTCGAGTAAATAAATACACGGCCTACATTTTTTATTATGTAAATATTTAATCATATCAGGAAATTTCGGGTGCTCCGCCAGCTTGGAATATTAAAAATCAGCTCCCACTAATCCGGTGGCACCAGATTTTTACGAATTTAACACACGCGCCTAAACATATGCTTCGGTTTTCCGTCAGTCGCATTTTCCTCTTTTCCGCCTTATCCATTTATTATATCTCTGTGTGTGTGGGCCGTTCTTTGACAACCCTTAAGCATCAACAAATTTGAATTGGGCGGGTTCTCTTTTTTGGGCTGCTATTTAATGTTGTCAATACGTTTACGCTTATCAAATACTTGTTATCACAAATCGATTACTCCGACAGCGGCAGAAGCGGTTCGGGTATGTTGTCGTTCGTAGAGATTGTCGTTGTCATAAGTAGGTTCCCCATGTAAATTGACGCATAAATATCCCTGTGTATTTGCCTGTTTTTTGTTTGTAGCCCATCCGACCTTTAGTATCTAGCTGATATTGTTATGGCTGTGGTCGGGAAAATCCTTTTTTGACAGAATTTTATCATATTATCTGTGTTTTAGATAAGCTTACAGTCAAGTCACTGACTGATAAACTTTGTCGGCATAAGCTTACATTTGTATTAAATTGGTATTTGCCCAAAGGTCTTGTTTCCAAAATGTCGTTTTATTTTATTTTATTTATTGTGGCTATATTTGCATCTCAGTTAAAGGCGAATGCTAAATTAATATGTGTGACGGTTCAACTATTTTTCTATTTAAGTAAGTATAAAGTAAATGCAAAACTAAAAAAAAAACCAATCCAAAAATATACTAAAAAGTGTAAAATTTAAATTTATTACTTTTTTATTAAGTTTTACGTAAACATAACAAAAGTTATGCCCTTAACTTAGAGGACTAAACCACAACAAAATTAAAGATAAAAAATGGAAAATTGATTACGTAGAGAAATATCTATGATAAATATAAACAACTTTCGCTTCTTTTTAAAGGGTATCTCAACATATAGTCATCCTATCATCCATATTATTTTGTTATCATTTTACTTCTTTAGTTCGCACAGTAATTTCTTATGATGTCGGTGAATAAAACTCAGTCTTTATGATTCATCTTGCTTGTCTCATGAATGATATAATCTTAAATGTGGATAAGTCTCTTCCCACCGCCTGAGATAAGCACCATTTACTGCCGTGATTCAACCCGTTCATTATTATCTTTTTAATAACGTTCTGGCGAGCCGAATTCTGGGCTGCAGCTGTCAGCTTCCTGTCATAAAACCAGTAAACAGTAGCTGCCAAACCTCCTCCCATAAATGTGGCCCATTACCTTTATTAGACTTGCTGTTGGTCTTGTTATAACTTGGCCTATTGTATTAGCCGGGTGGAGTGGGGGGCTTGTTTGCACCCAATTTCGATGTTTGTATGGCACGTATTGAGATTCAATTAGTCAAGCCGCTGCGCAGAGTTAATAAATCACAACCCAACCATCAGCAATCCCCCAGGAAACCGAATCGCTGCTGGCAAACGATTAATTATGCATAAATTTGATTGATGTGCGTGAGGCGACTGTTTAAACGGATCCGAAGCCGATGCCGCCTTCGATTTACAGTCCCACCCAAAGTGACAATGACAACGAGCTCGGCCTGAAAGCCGTCGATTAATTTACTGAGGTGATGACGCACTTGACGTAGCTTTTAATTAGCATTGAATGGCGTTTTTATACCCTATCAGAGGGTATTAAAATTACTGTCAAAAGTTTGCAACGCAGTGAATGACACATTTTCGACCGTTTAAAATATATACATATATTATTGATCTCCATCACTAAAAGAGTCAATTTAGCCATGTCCATATGTGCGTCCGTCCAACAATATCTTATAGCTGTCATAGAAACTATGCCAAAATTCAGCACAAAATCGACATAGCTTCATTGTCTTTAGTAATATAGGAATAGAAATCGAAATGTAGTCGTTTTGTAATAACTGCAAGGGTATATAAACTTCGGCGACTTCGATGCGACTCGTCGAGAAACACATTTCAAATGGGAACCAAAGGCTATTTATTAGTTGCGACTTAAAGAATTGGAACGTAATATACCAAAAGCAATCAAATACTATTTATATTTTATTTTTTCCGATTTTTAAGACAATTCTTTTGCTTAAAAACTATATACATTAAGAATCTGTAAGTATTAATAATCGCATTTATTTACTTTTCGCGTTCACTTGAATGTATAGGGATTCATCGCTTCTTTAATACGCAGAGTATACAGAACAATAACATGAGATTCAGTCACCTTGCTTACACTTCAACTCAACAATTTGAAATCTTCAGCCTTGAAATCTTTGCCTGGCAAATGTGATTTAAGCAACAATACAAAACCATTGTCAAGTCAGCAGTTTTTTTTATTATTGCACATAATTAAGTTGGTTAAAAATAGCGATTAGCTTGGCAAGATCCCACCTTACGGACGTTCAGAATCCGTCCGAGCTTCCTGTATACCCGCTGCGTGCATTCAAAAAAACACCGGTTTTTGTATGTTACACCATTGGAGCCGCACACCTCCGCCTTGAGAAGATTGCAGGGACAATAGCTGGCCTCCGTGGCTCCCGAAAATAGTATAGCCAAAAGGCACAAAAAAACCATTAAAGCCAGGCACTTCATATCTCTTTTGTAGGAGTGCCAACTAAATCAAAATTATGAGGAACTTGTAGACCTATTTCAGCAACTGTTCAAAGAAAACTGAGTCTTGTCTTACTTAAAGTATCTCGGCTATAACGTAAATACTGATAACAGAAAAAAAACAAAGATGTATTCTTTGATAAGAGTAAATAAGATTTAATAGAAATTTATTCTTTTCAAATATTATCTCACAGCGCTCATTTGAATTCGAGAAGATTGCATCGCTTTTACGAGTATGTGTATGAAAAATAGGTATATAATTTGTATAATATCATATATACATAGATAAGGATCCCATATTTAGTTCGCCTGATTGCAAGGCCCGTCATTTCGGATGTTCAGGGTCCGTCCGACCTTTTTGTAGTCCCTCTGCGTGCACTCGAATTCGCAGCGGTTTTTGAAGGTGACGCCATTTGAGCCGCACACCTCCGATCCCTTCGTCTTCAGGTCGCAGGGACAATAGCTGCCCTCCGAGGATCCCGCAAAGAGGGCGACCAACAGGGCCAAGAGGACCACCAAAGTCAGGCACTTCATTTCTTCTCCGTGGATCTGTTACTTGAATGGGATTTTCGTGGGGGGAACTAACACGTCGTCGTTTCGCTTCGATTTCTCAACTGAGACTGAGTGGCGGAATTGCAATCGTTTGTTCAGAGTCTGAGTACAAGTTGCTCTGCCTTTGTGTGTGCGTAAGTTTTGCTAATTAGCCAAACAAGCTGCTGATTATTTTCTCACTTCGGCGGCGTGTGGGTTTCGTTGGCATGAGTCTTGCGGGCCTCCAGCAATTTACACGGCTGGCAGTTGAGGGCCCACGAAGTCACTATGGCAAAGAGCAAGAGCATGAGGCCCAGAAACAAACCTCGCATGGCGGCGATTACTCCACAACTGGATAGAACTTAGTCAAATTTCCCCAGGGTCTGAGCAGCCAAACTAATTGAAATTGAATGGCAATTGCAATTGAATGGCCAGCGTCGCGTAAATTGCCAGACAAAAAGACTGGCGTTCCATTAATTACTGGGGCTCATAAAAGGCGGAGTAATGGGTATGTAAATTTCTGTAGACGGGGGGAAATTTCCACCTGATCGCTGATAAAAAGGCGGAGAGAGCAGAGGGAAAAGCTCTCTAACAAAGTGAGTAATTATAGCTTTTCGTAGAGCTTTTTGTTAAAACTATAAACAACTGCGTGTTTGGTTCCGCGATAAGCTAAATAAGTAATTAAATTGAAAGTGCTGATGCTCATAAATTATTCAAATAAATTTGCAATGCATATACTTAGCAAGGTTATTCTAGGAACTATTTCAGCTAATTGAGAGCGCATTTTTACTGCAATCCACTCATATCACTGGCAACACTACCCGCAACTCCAAAGCACCTCGAAAACTGATAAGATAAGTGCCCCAATCGAAGCCAACCAAAGCTCCATTGACTGAAAAAGAAGTCAAATAGCAGTATCGAATCAGTCTAGCAAGTGGATTAACCCCGCCGCCATGAAATTCCTGAGCATTCTACTGGCCCTGTGCCTCATTTTGGCCATCGCCGTGTTGCCAATTCGCAGCGATGACGACGTGGAGGCGAAAAATGAATTCTGCCCCTGCCCCAGGAGCTTCGATCCCGTTTGTGGCAGCAACCTTGTCACCTACCCCAATCGCTGCGAATTCGATTGCAAGCGTCGAAATGTGGAACGCCAGGGACGCAGCCTGGGACTCTTGAGATCTGGAACTTGCTGAACTAAAACACCTTTATACAACAAACCAAAGAAACGTCAAGGAAAAATGAAATCAAATAAAATAAGTGCCTTGTATTAATCATCAATGTGAAATATATAGAAATAAATCCGCTTATCAACCAGAGCATTTGGCATTGCAATTGATAGCGTTTCAACACCTTATCGCAAGTTCGAATCGTAAACAGCGCAACACTGGGAAAAACTTGCACCTATTTCCGAGGGCTGCAGAGATTTGCGAATTTGATAGTTCCAATAGTGGTTGGTAGTAGTTCAAGTAGTTCAAGTGATTGGCTGTCAATGATAACCATATTTAATGAGTGATACCTTCAAGTTGAAAACACGTTTCGTAATATTTTGATTTACAGTGTTTTGAATAAGGCAATCAACATATTAAAGCTTTATGAGTGGTATTCCATATTCTGAAATTAGTCACTGAGCAAACACATTGTGATTGGATATGTCTATATTTATGTTTAACCCACTTAACAAATGTGAATAACTTTAAACAGAAGAACTTGTCTCAACGAAGTTAGTCCGCTATGACTCACATCGTATAGATGATAATATTTAATCATTTTCATGATAAGTTGCTACTTCGACTATATAGAATGACCACTAGTAACAAAAATAAATCCGTTATTATTAAAAAAAAATTATTTATTTTTGTTGATAGTGGTCATTCTATATTGAATGACTATATAGTCGATATAGTTATCATGAAAATGATGAAATATTATCATCTATGAAAATAAATAATAAATAAATCATCATTTTACTTTAGTTGGATAAACCTCTTGTATTTCGGGTCAGGTTTTTGCAATTTTAAAACCAGGTGTTCCCAATTTGGTTTTGCAGCCCTCGTATGGTTTCTTATTGTTATTGTTGATTTATTTGCTTTACTAAAGTTATGCCAACATTTGTCTAAATAGAATCCAAGCCAACAAGAAAAGTCGATAAACAATTGGGTCAATAACAGAAACCGCAAAAAAACACACATAGAATTTGAGTTTTTTTAACTTCAGCATAATTAAACCACTTGAAAAAATATGAAATATTTTGTTTTGCTTATTAAGATAAGCTGGCTAAAATAAATAACAAGATTTGACATTTTGCTGAAGCTTAGAATTAATAAAGTTGAAGTAGTAACAGAAACAAACTAATTTGTTAGGCCACACCTGAATTTACATAAAACCTGATTCATAGATGGTTTGAATATTACAATTTTCATAGACGTTTTGCATTTTTACGCAAATAATATGTAGTTCATATGTTGACCAATTGTATGTAAGCCAAGTTTTATCTAAATGTATTTTAAACGAGAATCGTTATTAGGCGTTAAAGCTCAGGTATATATCCACATTTTTTCACAATCAACAAGTATTTATTTCGCACTTTTCATTATAAAAATAAATGTTACAGCCAGATGGATTTCCATAATCCGCTCGTTAGCAAGCTCCACTCTTAACGACAGTAATGGCACGTCCATTGTTTTTGGCCGCGCAGTTCAAATCGCACTGGTTGCTGTAGGTCACGGCGTCCGATCCGCAGACAGGATCGTAGTTGCGAGGACATGAGCAGAAGGCCTGAGCCGTGGCCATGGCCAAAAGAGCGAACAGGCAGAGTGCGATCAGAGCTAGGCAACGCATGGCTTTAGTGTTGGACTGGCTAGGCAAGACTGGAGCTTTCACACCCGACCGGCACTCATTTATAGATAAGCCAGGCCAGCACCCTTCGCAAGCCGCATTTCGTCGGAAAAAGTACACACTTGCACCTACAAATCGTAATTTTCAAACATTAGTCGTGCCTTTAGGAAATAACGCCTTACTTGCGATTTATTTTATTGACAACTTGGAATAATAAATAAAATAAACACCATATACTTACTAATTGTAATGATGTACATTACATACGAAATTACAAAGCTTGAAAAATTGCCGCTCTAAGCGGGAGTTTCCATCTTTTTAAACACGTGGCGTATAAGCATTACTCAAAATTAGCGACCTGAACTAAATTGTTTCTATGCATATACAAATATTTAATATTACCCTAGTTTGCTACTAACTGCACAGCTGTTGGCCTTGGCAACATTCGCAAAAAACGTTATTAGCTTGGCCTAATAAAATCCTTTCAAGGCACAAAAGCAATTTCAATCTAATCTTGTAGTGCCGAAGGAGGCTACTAAGCCCGGCCAAATCAAAGGATAGGATAATACAAGATGGAGCAGAAAAAGCTTAAGCGCAAGGAAAATGGTTGTGGATTCAAGAAATCCTTGGTAAACGTGGGATTTCTCTTTCTCTTTAAAAATACCTGGTTTACTGTTCTTTTGAGACATTTTATAAACATTTAAATAAAGTTGTAAAACCACAATAATCGTCGGGGATCATCTTAATATATGTTATTTAACTTTTATCGTTTTTCTTGAAATTGAATCTGGATTTCTGTATCTTGTTAAACAGCTTTCTGGTTAAATAAACTCCTTTCTTAAAGTAGAAAAGACGCCCTACCAATCACCGAAACAACGTTTTCCTACCCTTCTGGCCAAGAAGCAAACAAAATACACAACACAAATACACTTTAGCTAAGCCCAACAGCATTAGAAAGGAGGGATTTGCAGCGAGTGAAAGACAACAAAAGGATTTAGGGCTCACATAGACAAGAAAGATAGTTTGAATACTGATTGCCATGCAGGACCTGTTGGAGCAGTCAGGCAGATATATTATATGTAAATGTTTATACACATAAAAACAAAATTTTATTTTGTTGATGTGATGCTGGGGTATTTCGTATTTTACTACTAAGAGATCAAAATGTACGTTAATAGAATTACGAACTGGTTGCAGCTTTCAATTAATCACTCCGATAAAATTGAGCATTTTGCTTCGAAGTTTAAGTAGCTAAAACAAAATTTTTATAGTAATAAAGATATATAGTTTATAAAGAAAAAACTCTTACAGCAGAGGCTTCAAAATATATTCATGATATTTATTAAACAGGATACCTAATTACAAAATATTTTGATAATGCAGTAATTCATATTGCAAGTATTTTTTGTTTAATTATAACCAGAGTCTTTCTATTTACATTTTGTATATTATTTCACAATTTTATAAATATACAAAATTTTTATTTTCACCAAAAAAACTTACTTAATTAGAAAATATTAAGAAACACATTATATATTCACAGAAATACTTTTGAAAACAAAAATGCATTGAATTTGTGATACATGGATCTGCAAACATTTATTTGAATAATATTTAGCTAAAAACGTATTTATATTTATTGCCAGGCCTTTGTTAAAAACAGAGATAATATCTCTGAGACGATAAGAAAAGTGCATTTAACTAAGAATGATTCCCATCTCATTTCCAGTTGCCAGCACGCCGGAGAGTTTGCCCAGCAAGCGGGACGAGGCCAGTGTTGGGGCAGGCACCACCGGCAGCAGTGGTGCGGCATCGAGCAGCAGTGGTGCAGCGAGCGGTGCAGCGAGTGGGTCAGCTGGGGCAGCAAGTGGATCTGGATCTGGATCTGGGGCCGGAGCCGGAGGAGCAGGTGGCGCCAGTACGCCAGCCCAGGAAGCCGTCAGTCCCACAGTCTCTGAGCTCAGTGGCAGCGGCACAAATGCGACAATAAATGGTCAAGTGGCAAGTAAGTAACGAGCAGCTCAAGCTCATGGCATTTTGAATCCCTCCCCCGCTGTTGTGTGTATGTGTGTTATTTTTGCATAGTTCACCATCTGATCCGCATTATAATTTCCATTTTAAAGTAGCGGACAGGACACCGCAGAGCTCGTACACCGCCTGCATAATTCATCCTGCACCAGCTGCGGAGATTGCGGTGACTAAGTCGGTTTGACATCGCTCGGAAATGGCAGGAATTTAGATAGGAGGGGTCTTAGTGGACAGTTGTGGTTAAGAGCAGAATTGGCTAATTGAAATCGCATTGCACCGCAGTTTCCCTAATTAGGTATTTCATTGATCGGTTTTCATTAACCTGGAGGGCATTAAAGGACATTATAAAACCTATTTAAATTAGCAATTTTATATGTAATTTAACTAATAATTAGAATGGCATGTAAACAATTGATTTAACAAAAAGCTATTTCAATTAGCAAATGGCATGTAATCAAATTAAACTGAATGTTTAGCTTAAATCTAATTTAAAACCACTTTAATTAACAATGGTGTTTAATGACAACTTTTTAACTCGGAATTTATTAAATAGACAAAAGGGCAAAACTGTCTGGTAAAATATAATAAAATATTTAAATAATTCCCCCAATGAATTCCGATCTGATAAATCGAAGTCCACAAAAAGTCTTCTACTTCTAAACCGTTAATTCTACATTTTTTTCAGTAAATATCGTGTTATCCGCTGAAGCCCTAACATACTTCTTTTACAAAAATATTTAAATATCTAATTGAGATCAATCGTTAACAAACTAAATTGTCGAGCAACCCAACTATCTTAGCTTTTCAAAAAAGATTGATGGGAAACCATCGATCATGTTACCAGTTGCGAAACGCACGTTATGCGGCCATCAGGCCATTTAATTGCCGGCAATTTCCACCACCCCACTCACATGGGTCAAGACAACCGGAATTGGGTTTAGGTTTAGCCGTAAGCTGATGCCAGGTGGGGCCAGCACAGCATTTTTCTCCGGTTTCCCCCACATTGTGGGGTAAAATGAAGCGTTGAAAGTCATTAAGGCTTGAAGAGTCGCCAGTAAAAGGAGCATAAAACATTTCATCCCAAAACTCGAGTCGATAAAGAGCCCGCGCATCTAGCAGTTAAGCGAGGGAATCTCGGGTGTAACATAAATTTAAGTGCTGCATAAAGCGGATTTTATGACTGCCCCATCACCTTTCTGAGGAGGTGCTTGCACTGTCAAAATAAATGGAATGCAGTTAAGATTCCAGCAGCCAAAACGAAGACACAGCTCTGTTAAAGAAGGTTGGGGAATTCGCAGATAGATTGCTCCGAGCACCCCTCCTCGGCACTTGACAAACACACACAGATAAATCCTTTGCACTTTTTCGACACGCCCGGCAAGGCAACTTGGGGCCAACTTGGGATGATGCCACTCAGCCAACTGGAGGCAGGGGTTCAGGGGGTACAAATGGGGCAGGACCAGGATTCGCAGGAGGAACTTCTTCAACGGCTTTTGTTCGCTGCTCGTTAAGCTTTTTCCCCTCACTTGGGGTTAAACTAAATAAAGAATTCTATGCTACAATGGCCTTAAATGATGGGGATAAATTATTGATTTCTTGTCGATTGTATCAAAGGATTTCTGACCAAAGAAGAAAGCGAACGGTGGGACAAAATGGAAAGGAGATTTTTATAATGAATATTACTTAAAAATTGTTCTGTGTTATTTTAAAAATGTATAATTTTCAAAATATATTATTTTAAAAATGTATAACTAATGTAACGCCTTATTTTATTTCATGATCTCAAAACATTTATGTTTCTAACACTAGTTTGAACAACATATTACATATATTATTAAATGTTTGATAAGTACTTCGAAATATTTGAATTCATAATCTTTCACTCATAATTTTAAATCATTCTTTAACTTAGATATATTTATATAATATATTCTTTTCCTTACCATTTTCCCCCCATTCCATTGGTAGTATGTAACTCGGAATTTTAAATCATTTTCTTATTTTGGTATATATATCTTCCTGTGCCCACTGTATTCCCTGCATCTGAACCCTTTCCTTTGGGGCCTTTGTGTGCTTCGTTAGATCCCAGTAGGGCCTCAATCAATGTGTCAAGAGTGAGAGTGATATAACTAAATAAGCAGCCGGCAACTAAATCAGTTTCTTCCCAACCGATTCCCTCCGGCATTTTGCAGGACACGGCTCACTGACGATTATCCGACGCACAAACAGCCGGAACTTCACGCAAATCGACTCCCAGCTGGCATCGCCCTCCACCACCGCCTCCAGCTCCACAGTTCCGGGGATTGGCTTCGCCCAGACGCCGCTCAGTGAGCCACTCGCGGAGCGCCTAAGCTTCCGATCCGGCAGCAACGGATCCGCGTCCGCCGGCGACAGCCGATCAAGCAATCAGTTCCCGAGCTCCGGACCAACAGCCACCGCCGCCGTCGCCGCCGCCGCCAAAATGCAGCCGTCATCGCCGAATGCCACCAACTACCTGGCCGACAATATTCAGATCTCGTCGGCTAATCTGTCGCAGACCGAAATGGGCGTTGGTCGCGAGTCAGGGGAATACAACACCGTCGGCCACTCGATTAACGTCGCCGGCAACAACTCGTTCCTCCGCGGGGACACCGATATTCCGCAGGAGTCGGGACACTCCTTCGAAACGCCCTCGAATATCTCGTTCGCCGCCGGGCAATGGGACACGGAGAGTTTGCCGCCAGTCGACACGCCAGATGCCCTAAACAAAGCGGCCGGGAGGTGAGTTCCCCCAATATAATTATAAGCCAAATTATTGGATATTAATTACTTTATTTGGCTTCCTTTTTGTATTGTACTTATTTATGCAAAATTATGTAACAGTTTAAAAAAAGCGTTTCCGACCTTTGAAGTCTTGTTTGATCAGCATCAACAGTCTTAAGGATTTAGTCATGCCCTTAATCAGTCAGAAAACTTTGATCTCACAATTGGCCTCAAAGATACAATAAAAACTGCTCTTACAAAACCTTGTCAATTAGAATTTTCTACACCATCTAAATGAAAATATATGAAAAACTTAAAACCCAATACGAAGGACCTAAAGTGCATTTTTTTCAACAATTTTTGTTGGTAGCAGTAGGACCTAAAAATGTTCATCCAACTTAAAGCGCCCTTATGTGCTTTCATATACAAATACTTTTTGCTCGCAAGTATTCTCTTCCCCATATTTTACGGCGAATAAATTGTTTAGCAGTGAAAGGTATAGCTTTTTATACCCTTGCAGAGGGTATTATAATTTTGGTCAGAAGTTTGTAACTCAGTGAAGGAGACGTTTCCGACCCCATAAAGTATATATATTCTTGATCAGGATCAATAGGGGAGTCGATATAGCCATGTCCGTCTGTCCGTCTGTTTCAATACCGTTTGCGAGCTCAGTTTAAAAGCTAGCGATCTGAAACTTTCACAATCGTCCTAAAACATGTGTACGCAGATCAAGTTTGAAAATCGCCCCGATCGGACGTCTATATCCTATAGCTCCCATAGGAACAATTGGATATATCTTGCAAGAATTTATGATATTTCGCGCAGTGTAAAAGCTATTGACATTAATCTTTACAAATCGTATTTTTTTATGCATACCTTGATCAGGGTAAAAGCGCGTGGCGATCGGACGTCCATATCCTATAGCTCCCATAGGAACAATAGGGTAAAATCGGTTAAAATTTAATGATTTTTAGGATATTTCGCGCAGTGTAAAAGCTATTGACATAAATCTTTCCAAATCTTATTTTTTTATGCGTACCTTGATCAGGGTAAAAGCGCGTGACGATCGGACGTCTATATCCTATAGCTCCCATAGGAACAATAGGGTGAAATCGGTCCAAATTTGATGATTATCAGAATATTTCGCGCAGTGTGTAAGCTACTAACATAAAATTTTCCAATTCTTATTTATTTACGCTTATCTTGATTAGGGTAAAAGCGCTTGCCGCTCGGAAGTCTATATCTTAAAGGAGATAGGAAAAATTGTTAAAGGCTGCGAAAGTATCCCTTTTTTTCTATTTGTATATGACATTTTTGCAGTATAAAAGCAATTGACTTGAAACGATGCAAATCTAGTTTACTTATGTATACCTTATTCCTTTCGCTACTTTTTCACTTTTAGCAATTTCGTCAAAGTCTGCAAGGGTATTAAAACTTCGGCTTGCCGAAGTTAGCTTCCGTCCTCGTTACCTCTAAGATACAATTACACACATCAAATTAATGAAATTGTCACTTGAAAAGGCAGTCTTGTCATTGGGAAGTAGTCCGTACCACCACTGGATGAAATGAAGGATTATTTTGTCACATTTTATTTTCTTGTGTTATGCTTTGCATTCTCCGTAATTGACAATACTGACACCAGCGCATTTTGCTCCGCACGGGTTTCCGTAGGTTTTTTTGTCTGATCCGCAAACAGGAGAATACTCCCTGGTACAGACACAAGATCCAAAAGTGAGGTCCAAAAGAGCGAACAGGCAGAGGATCAACGCAAGGAAACGCATGGCGGTAGTCTATACTGATATAGCAGATAGGGGTATGGTATATATATACCTGTACCAGGAAATCGTTAAGCTTTATGGTGTAAAATCATAATTTTAACACTTGTTAAGTCACATTATTAAATTTGTTTACATAACTAGAGTTTTTTAAATACAAATTTGTGATATTAACAATCTTTTAAACCTTCATATATAATGCGCTTTAAGTCTAGGTAAAGAATTTTTGTTTATATTCTGTTCCGTATTTTTTTGCAGATTTTCAACAAGTATTCGACTTAAAACATTAACTGAAATAATCATTTGATTTCTGATTTGTAATGCACCTGGATTAATGGATTACTTAGTGGTAGAATTTTTATACCCTTGCAGAGGGTATTATAATTTTGGTCAAAAGTGTGCAACGCAGTGAAGGTGTCTCCAACCCTATAAAGTATATATATTCTTGATCACGATCACCTCCTGAGTTGATATAGCCATGTCCGTCTGTCCGTCTGTCCGTCTGTCTGTCCGTCTGTCTGTTTCTACGCGAACTAGTCTCTCAGTTTTAAAGATATCGAATTGAAACTTTGCACACACCCTTCTTTCCTTTGCACGCAGTATATAAGTCGGAACGGCCGGGATCGGCCGACTATATCCTATAGCTGCCATATAACTGATTGATCGGAAATGGCATAACTCTGCTGTTTGTTAAGTTAGGAAGTTGGGATTTTCTATGGGACTTTCTATGGGTTTTATATTTGGCCAATCAATCCGACGTACCAAATTTCATAAGGATCGGCCGACTATATCCTATAGCTGCTATATAACTGATTGATCGGGAATGCCATAACTTTGGTGTTTGTTAAGTTAGGAAGTTGGGATTTTCTATGGGTTTTATTTTTGGCCAATCAATCCGACCTACCAAAGTTCATAAGGATCGGCAGACTATAACTTATAGCTGCCATATAACTGAATGATTGGAAATGCTATAACTTTGGTGTTTTTAAAGTTAGGAAGTTGGGATTTTTTATGAGTATTAAGAATGCATCATATGAATAATTTTGGAGAATATAATTTACAGAGTATTCTGCAAGGGTATATCAACTTTAGCTCCGCCCGAAGTTAGCTTTCCTTTCTTGTTTTTAATGAATTAACTGAGGAAAATAGATAAGATGTCTCCTCTCTGTTAATCGTTCTTATCCGAGAAATAAACGAATTAAATGGTTTTGGGTGAATAATCATTGTATTTGCTTCACACATGTGAATAATGACTTCAGAACTGCATGGAGATGATGTGTTCCCTATATCTTTAGTATAATCATCTTATTGCTGGTATCTGGTGCATGTACCCCTCTTGAGCACAGTGAGTCTGAATCCTTGTTGGGAAGATTGGCATCTCATAACGCACTCGGTGGGATAGGTTTTGTAGTCTGATCCGCATACAGGATTATAATCGTAGTTACATAAGCACCAGTTTCTGGATGCAGTCAGTTTAAAAACTGCGAATAGTAAAATGGTACTTAAAGCAGAGCCTAGCATGGCTATAGTATTAAGTTGATCAAGCAAGACTGGGTCTTCCACACCCCATCGACACAAGTTACAAAATAACCAGGACTAATTATATATTATAGCGATAAATTGGCTTAAGGTCAACAATTTTTTTTTAATTCCGGTTATTTGCATTCTCGGTCATGGGCAATATTGACACCAACACATTTTGCTCTGCACGGGTTTCCGTAGGTTTCTTTGTCTATTCCGCAAACGGGATATATTTCCTTGGTACATTTACGAAAACAGGCGAGTTGTGAGTTTGTGAGTTCAAACAGAGCGAACAGGCAGAGGACGATCAACGCAAGGAAACGCGTGACCATACTGTATAATAATATGCCATAAATGGGCATGGTATATATACTATTACCAGGATTTGTTAAATATTAATGTGTAAAATCATAATTTTTACACTGGTTAAAATCACATAATTAAATTTGTTAATATTTAAAACGTCATTGCAAATATGTAAGAGCGACAAAAAAATATTAGCAAATAACTTGAAATTCATTATTAACTGAAAGGAATTATAGAGAGGTGAAAAAATGACTATATGGAAACGGGCAGACTAAGCTAAAAATACATACGAAACAAAAAAGTAATTCTAATTTGGTGCTAAAATAGATAAAAATAATGCAATTATTGGGAAAGAGTCCATAGTAGAAATAATATGGCTTAGTTTATTATACTTATTACACAGTACTCTAAAATGGTCATGAATATCGTAGTTGGATTTTCAATGATTTAAAGTAAGAGGTACATAGTTCCTGGTAATGCTATTGGGCACAGAGAAGTTTAGGCGACCTAGTAACTCGGGACCCACCACATACCCGTGAATAAGTTTAATAAGAATAGACTACGTAGGTGAACAGACTGGTTTAATTTTTGAAGATCCAAGAGAAGGGGCTTTCACTTAAACTCGGACTAAAATCAAATTTGACTTGAACATGGTATAGGAATAAGACAGATTTGTAGATATACATACGTATTTTACAAATATATCATTTATAAAATTAATAGAAATATCACTTAAAAAGCAGATTTGTCATTGGGGAGTAGTCCGTCCCACCACTGGATAAAATTAAGGTTTCTTTCACATTTTATGACCAGCTACATTTTCGTACTCCGGTTATTTGCACTTTCCTTCATGGGCAATACTGACACCAACGCATTTTGCCCGACACGCGTGTGCGTAGGTTTTTTTGTCTATTCCGCAGACGAAGGGTTGTTTTTCCTTGGTACATAAACAGGGTATAGCTTCTGTGAGTTCCAACAGAGCGAACAGGCAGAGGACGATCAACGCTAGGAAACGCATGGCCATACTGTATAATAATATGACATATAGTGGCATAGTATTTATACTAGTACCCGGATCCGTTCAATTTTAAAGTGTAAAATCATAATTTTAACACTGGTTAAAATCACATCATTAAATTTGTTAAATTTAAAACGTCATTCCAAATGTGTAAGAGCGTCAAAAAAAATTTTTTTTTAATTAAGAGGCTGAAAACAGGCGTAGCAAATAACTTTAAATTCATTATAAACTGAAAAGAATTAGAACACCACCTCGTAAATATTTTTTAAATTAAGTATGCCTATCCTGATTTCTCAACTTCAAAAAGTTGAAACGAAATCTCGGTGCTTAGCATTTTTAACAAATTCACTGTTGACTGATTTTTATTATTTTTACAATAGTCAGTAATATGCTTTGATAAGCATACATTGGTATATAGTTCTAGAAGTCATTCATATTTTGACCTCTGCCACTACCATGTTTTAAAAAATTTTGTAGCAAAAAGAAAACAATTGTTTATCTTACTATAGCCCAGGAAGTTTTTTTTTGTTGGGGACTTATAACATGATATTCACAAACATGTCATGTAAATATGTCTGAAAATAGCATTTCAAATCCCGGTTATTAACAGCTTCCCTTCTTGACTTCAGTTATTTCATCCGATTTTAGCTTTGCTCCACATTTTAAAACACACGAGTTGGGGTAGGTTATGTTATCCGATCCGCAAACATTATCAATAATCCAGGGACATAAACAAGGGCTTCCTTTTTTCCGACCATCAGTCAAGGCTAAAAAAGCGAAAAGGATAATGGTGATCAGAACGAGGAAACGCATGACTTAAGTGTGGACTGGTCAGGAAACAATGGGGCATCCACCTCCAATAAACACTTATTTATAAAATCCAGAAAGAGGAAAATTTATATATTTAAAGCGATAACTCGTAGTTTTTTGACGTGCTAAGGTTCAGTAATTTACAATTACAAATATACACATCAAAGCGGGTAATCGTAATTTTAACAAGTGTTTAGAAAGTAAACTATTTATTTTTAAGAATGGATCATAAAGTTTTTCAAGATAAATAACATAATAACAAATTTATTTACTTGCAATAGCAATTCCATGTTTTATTTTGCTAACATGTTTAACATTAATTTACGAATTTTTCTCATTAGTAAAGATTTATTCCTACTTGTAACTCATATTATTTAGGTTAATTTTGATATGATTAGCCTAGATGATTCTCCCAAAAACATTGATTTTCGTCAATGTTTAAAACTCCCATTTCTTCTGTCGTTATAATACCAATTTCGACGAAAGTAATAGCGTTGCGATAAAGCTTTAGTGCTGATAAGAGATACTTAAGTTCGAAAACGCTTTTTTTACTGGACGCGTATTGAATTAGTATATTTCTGATTATTTATATATAAAAGTTTGGCCATGAATCATTCAACTAATACGTCTTTAAAATCCCACAGAATACGCAGTCTTCTCCGCCGCATGGATCATGAGACCGTGGCCTACGAGGACATGCAGCGCAATCTGCACTACGCGGCTCGTGTACTCGAGGCCGTCTTCATTGACGAATCAAGGTAGGTGGTCTACCACTAGTGGTCTTACCCATAAAATATCCCCCGAAATCGAACAATTTGCCAGCTTCTTGGCGGTCTAGCCTAACCAAGAGGATAACGAGTCGAGTCGAGTCGACTGATCTTCGGACAACTCTGCTTCAGCTTGGGCTTCTTTGGGGGCTCCCATCGAATTGGTTTAGGCTTTGTAACCCGTTTTGAGTAGGATCCACCCGACTAACGCTGCGTAGTTTCAAAATTTTGGATTTGCACCCAAGGCAAGCTTTTCATCAACCGATAACCAAGGCCATTTGCCCATCAAACCATCTAACTTCGCTTTTTGAAAAGAAAACCACCTTCTATGTACTCCTAAGTCGAACAATTAATTGAGGCCCTTGTTACCTACTGAATGTATACATATATCTGAATATTTTTCTTTTTATATCCGTTCTGTTACTGTTACTGTGTGTGTGTCTGTGTTGTTGAGCAGAAGCCCCACAACAGGTAAAACAAAGTTGGGGCAGATTGCGTCCTCATCCGTTGAGAGCGAAGAGTAAGTGTTCCCATCGAGTCAAACTTGTCGCTTTGGTTTTGTCGTTAACTCTGTTGATTTTTAACTCTAACATCTCTTCCATAATAAAACCATAAACCAACTCGCGTCCACATCATACCCGAAACCCACAATAACCACTTTTATTCACCTATCTCACCTCTTTCTTCTTCCAACTTCTTTCTAACTCTGTTACCGAATATTTCTATTCTCATACTTTGTAGTGCTCTTCAGTTCATGTATTTCGAAAATGGAGATATATTCTTTGCCTTGCTCTGCCAGTAAAAAAAGAAATTCTAGCCCACCATATCATCATCACCATTAATCGTATCTATTCTGTCTTCTATCTCTCATCGAACACATCATCATATAACGTTTGCAGAGATCGAGTATTTCTTAGCCATAGCCTAGCGTTACGTAACGTATTCGTTGTACGTATGTACTGTATTCTTCGGCTCCTGAGAGTTACTAAGTTAAGATTAAGACCCCGAACACCGTCCCTAACGATTCGCAGCACCGTATTTGATTGAAGAACTGTCTCTAACTTAAGAAACCTCACCTCTCTGCCTTCAATTCTCGGTGTCTTACTTTTTGCTCGCCATTTCTCTCGGTGTATCTGCATTATTTCTAACCAGTTCGACTGCCAGTTCGCCCGATGGAATTTTCTGTGTGCCTCTTCTGAATCTAACCCGTATTCTTCCCCTTCTGCTATAACTTCGCCTCTGAAAAGCTATTTGCCATAATATTTTTGTTGAATATTTTTGAAGGTTTGAACGTTAGGGATGGAAGTGCAAAGTTTTTATATTTTTATAATATTTTATCAAACAGAAATAATGTTTTTAGAGGGCTTTAAATAATAAAATTTTTAAGTTACCAAAAGAATTAGAAATTAGTCAACTAAAATAAAATAATAACTGGTCTGTTTAATTTATTTCGACAGTATTTAATGTATTTTGTATTAGGCACTTACATTTTGCCAGTGAACAAACAAATTTGGTTTTAAATAAACTATAACGCTATTCCGGAAAGATTTTGCATTTTCGAGCCCGATTTTGGTTCGCTAACCAGCCGCAGAAGGGGACTCTCTACAAATACAAGCCCAATGCATCAATGCATTTTTATTATTTACCACACTTTCAATTAAATCCCCCACCGATCCACTCCCGAATGTCATCTGCATATGTATGGAGTACGCGGTATCCATTGTATTCAGGTGCTGGGACACATGAATTTTTAACATATCCGTACCTACCAATCCCACTCAGACACGATTCTTCGATTTACATAGCCAAGTGAGGTTTGGTTGAAAGTCACTTCCCTTTTACCCCTTTTACCCCATTTATTTTGTTATTTTTTTGCCAACAAGCCACAAAGTTTCGGCGTTAACTTTGTTTGCCACTGAGACTAGCTTTGTAAGTGGTTGTGAAATTGGTGCATTTTTAAAACTTGCCCTAAAAGGACAAATTAAACACTTTTAATGTTCCAAAAAAGTTTGGAGTTTCAGTTGGATGCCTCCAATCCAGAAATTTATGCTTAACAATATTTTCCTGTTCGGTATTTTTATGTTTAGTACATTTTTTGCACAAAATAATGTCAAATCTCAAAAGTATTTAATATTAAAGCCCTTGTTTTTGAATTTGTAAGTAAAATAAATGTTCTTTTAGGGCAAGCTTGAAAAAGAATTGCTAGTTTTGACATATTCTGTTGATGGTCAGGCCATGCTGCGTGGGAAAAGTCCAGTTCTCTACCCCTACTAAACCCTAAAGCTTTACCACAACCTCTCAACTGATTTTCTATTTATATATTCTTTCTTTCTATTGACAAAACTATTTACCTAAAAAATTACATGAAAACTAAATAAAAAACTCTCACACAAAACACACAAACAAACCGAATGCAATGCAACATCAACGTGGTGTCTCGTGTCCTAACAATTGCCCCATTTGCCGGTTCGCTGTTACTCACTGCCAACTGCTGGTCGCCGAACCACTTGACCGCCTGCCTTGCAACTCCAACTGGCGCCCAACTCGGGGGCAATCCTGCAGGGAGGGCTGCAACGGCAATTGCAAGAACCTGAACTGCGGTCGCCACAGCCACGGACGCGATGACCAGCAGCAGGACAACAATAACTCCAACAGCAGCTGCAGCCTGCAGGAGGTGGCCCCTGGAGGAGGGGTGGGAGCAACGCCGGGGGCGGGTGACAACCAGGACAACAGCATAGAGGGTCGCACCAAGGGCGTTTCCCTGGCCCCGCAGACCCACAGTGGACCCACTGGTCCGCCGTCCGCTCCAGATACAACCACCCCTGCACCCGCACCCAAACTACAACCAGCCCTGGAGACCGTGAGGGAGTCGGTGATGGAGGAGGCTCCGCCGGGGAAGGAGCCACCCCCGCCACCGCCCCCACCCCCGAGTCAAGTGCCAAGGCGGCGGAGAGTGCGGCCAGTGCGGCCAGCGGCGGCAGCAGTGGCAGCTGCAGTAACCCAGCGACCGTGCACCGGCAACGCCGCCTGCGGACACCCACCTGGGCCAGGTCCATGTCGACGAACAAAACGTACTTGAGATTTGATTTCTAAGCTAACCGTTTATCCGTTTATCCGTTCCGCCTCTTCAGTTCGTTCGATTTGCCTTTTCATTTGACGTTTGCGTTAACCAGAACACAGCTCCAGAATGAACTACTCTCTATAACTCTATAGCTCTATAACTCTGTAACTCTATAACTCTGTCTCTCTATCTCTCCTCTATCCAACTATCTGTCTGCTGACCTCTGTCTGCGATTTCCACTGCTGTATCTTCTGTCTAGCCTCCGACCCCTATTCCCTATCTTTTGCTCGCTTCTGTTGTAAATAACTATTTTATCCTAGACTAAAATCAAAAGAACACTTGTCTTGTTTTCCACCCGCGCTCTGCGTGATTGTAAATGTTCCTTGCCGCGACTTTTGTACAAAACAAGTTTGCAATAATAATACTTGATACTTCCTTTGACAACACGCTGATTTCTTTAATCGTGCTCATAAACTTAGTAAGTTTTAAACAACATTTTTACTCAGGCGTAGAGACTGAAAGATTTGACAGATTTTAATATGGATATTGTTTAATAAGTTTAAAAACACTGCAAATTGCAATATTTTTTTTTAAAGATTTAAACTTATTCAAATAAAACAAAATAAATAGAAATAAAAAAAATAAAATATAACATTAGAAAGTCCGCTTTTTTGAAGAGTACAAATATTATGTAAATTTAATAACAACTTCTTTACAAGTAAAAACATGTTTTAGTCAAACCACTTATTCAATTAATTAACTTAACTTTAAAGGTTTCTATATCTTTACTTCTATGCGTATGACAACTGAGCCATATGGAATTTTCTATAAATTTTCCGATTATTATTATGACAGCTCTTTTATATAGACCTTCCGAAAAATATACTACCTGCAATTATTAAAAACATACATTCCGATATTATTTTCCTCTGCAAGGGTATTCAAAAACATAAAAACACTTAAATAAAGTTATTGAAGATAAAATCGTAATATTTTAAAAATTATAAATAACTTCCACGATTTACGCCTGAGGGAAAAAAGAGTCCCTTTCCGACCAGTGTAATTTTGTACATACATATAAAAGTTTGTCTACCACACATGAATCCATGGCATGTTATTTGTCCTACATTTGTTTGTTTACTTATTAAAATTAGCTTCTGCATGTGTTTCGTCATTTCAAAGTTTGAATGTGCCGCCTAAGTGTCTAACTTATCGATTAATGGTAAACCAACACTGGCCAGCTGATCGTGATTAGGTGGCCACTCTACGCAATGGTAAGACCGTTTGTCCTGAAATGCCGCAGTAATTTCCGCGATCTGTGCATGGGGTAACACTATTGCCGCCAAAAGTGCCGGAAAACATTTATAGTCCTTATTTAAACATTTTAATCAGCATAAACTGATAGTTTATTGCAAACGAAGCCGTAATTTGGGGTTCAGTTAACCGTGAAAACGTGCGGCGCGTTCGAAATGAGCAGTGATAAAGTGAAAAACGGCAACGAGGCCGAAGAGTCGGAGGAATCATGTGGCGTGAGTAGCGAATGACAAATGGATGTGCGAAATGAGAATTAATGAATCTTTGGGGCCCGTGCCGCGTGCAGGATGAGTCGGCCAGTTACACCACCAACAGCACCACCTCGCGCAGCAAGTCGCCGTCGTCCAGTACGAGGAGCAAACGCCGTGGACGCCGGAGTACCAAATCGAAGCCAAAGAGCCGCCCGGCCTACAAATACGAGTAAGAAAGTAATCGAATACCGAGCTGGAAACTGATTCTGACCTCAATACGCCCTCTCGTGTTCCCCGAAGCACCCACGTGAAAGAGAACCACGGAGCCAACATCTTCGGCGTGGCCTTCAACACGCTGCTCGGCAAGGATGAGCCCCAGGTCTTCGCCACCGCGGGCAGCAACCGGGTCACGGTCTACGAGTGCCCTCGGCAGGGCGGAATGCAGCTGCTCCACTGCTACGCCGATCCGGATGTGAGTCCCTAGCATACAGACCCAACTTCAAGACCCTGTTGCTCAGTTGGTTAATGATAGGCTTGAAAAGAGACTGCTAGAACTCGATGTGTTATCTCAAACCCTGTAAAACCTGTTTAGTTAGGGCCACCCTTAAGTGGGTTATGATATATATTCGATGCTTTTCAATGGCTGCAGGCAGAATAATATTTCTATGGAATGAAAGTCACTTGGATACAAGAGCTATATGATCACTTAATCCTTTTGAGAAGGAAGACAACCTGTTCTTTAGTTAAGGCACTGTTGGAAGTCCATTTTCTTAATGTCAAACTTTGCTTTTCTAAATAGAGTTGAAAATTAGAAGTTTAAATATGTTAACCATTATATGAGGAATTCATTTCTGATCCCCAGTTAATTGACTGACCTCTAAAGTTCAATCTTAAACCAGATCTATTGAAATTTTAGTTTAGATAGAAAAAAGTAACAAATTCCCAGACTAACTGAACAATGAAGTCATGAAAATTGCCCTTCGAATTGCGGAAGTCATTGAAAACTCTTTAATTTGCTCCCCAGCCCGATGAGGTATTTTACACCTGCGCCTGGTCGTACGACCTAAAGACCTCTGCTCCACTTTTGGCGGCGGCTGGATACCGCGGAGTCATCAGGGTCATTGACGTCGAGCAAAACGAGGCGGTGGGCAACTATATTGGCCACGGCCAGGCCATCAACGAGCTCAAGTTCCATCCGCACAAGCTGCAGCTTCTGCTCTCGGGCAGCAAGGACCATGCGATTAGGTTGTGGAACATCCAGAGTCACGTGTGCATTGCCATCTTGGGCGGCGTGGAAGGACATCGCGACGAGGTGCTCTCCATAGACTTCAATATGCGTGGCGATCGCATTGTGTCCAGCGGCATGGACCACTCCCTGAAACTGTGGTGTCTGAATACGCCCGAATTTCACCACAAAATCGAACTATCCAACACTTTCAGCCAGGAGAAATCCACCCTGCCGTTTCCCACGGTCACCAAGCACTTCCCCGACTTTTCGACGAGGGATATACACAGGAACTACGTGGACTGTGTGCAGTGGTTTGGCAACTTCGTGCTCTCCAAATCCTGCGAGAACGCTATTGTGTGCTGGAAGCCGGGTCAACTTCATCAGAGCTTCGAGCAGGTAAAGCCGAGCGACTCCTCCTGCACGATCATCGCGGAATTCGAGTACGATGAGTGTGAGATTTGGTTCGTGCGGTTCGGCTTCAATCCGTGGCAGAAGGTGATTGCACTGGGCAACCAGCAGGGCAAGGTGTATGTGTGGGAGCTGGATCCCAGCGATCCGGAGGGCGCCCACATGACCACTCTGCACAATCCGCGCAGCGGAGCCACCGTGCGACAGATCGCCTTCTCGCGGGACGCCAGCGTGCTGGTCTACGTGTGCGATGACGCCACCGTGTGGCGCTGGAATAGAAGGCAGGCGGCTGCCATCTGATGGCACACCATCGCGAAACCACACACCAAATCTCACGTGGCCAAAACTTACAACATTTCCCTCAGTTAGTTCCTAGTTGGTTATAATTAAGATAGAATTACAATTCATGAAAGCAACCGAATTCCTATTAAATCGAATAAACAGTTGTTGAACCAATTTTCGTTTTGTTTGAATAAAATCTGGCTTAAGCTAGTTAATTCCTTTATTTATGCAAAATAGAGTGAAAATGTCTACTTGATTACAAATGCCAAGCCTTAAAAATGTATTAACTGCTTAAATAGAATCCGAAATACTGCTCTTTAAGCCATGTAAACGTCTTCACGTTGGCGGAGTGTCCCCAGTTGGCAATTCTAATTGTGGAACAAAGCAAAGCTTCGCATAACAAATGGCTTCCAATTGCTACGTCATTTATATGCATTGCTGCACTGGCAGCGAGCTCCAATCTGCTGATGTTGCCCGGGTCGGAATGTGGGGAATAAACGCGACGAAATTGAAACTGCCAACGGGAATCGGGATGAGTGGGTAACCAAGCGGCGGACAGCAATCCCAGGCAGCCATAACAGCTCCCAGCAGACTGATTAAGCGAGCAAGGTCCCACAATGATTTGCCATACCCTAGCTCAGTTTTTATTGAACACTTTCGTCTGATGAAAGTGCAGACCATTTCTATCATGGCTTTTTTGGTTGTAGGTAATGGAAATTTATGAAAATAGCTTGTTCCATTATGATGAGAACCCTAATGGGGCTCTGGACTATTTCTGCAACATAAACATGAATAGGAATTTATGAAAAAGGTTTTGCTATATGTTCCTTTTAGTGCGCCAAAAGTTTCTCTTTGCTTATTTTTTCCCACAGCTTTTTATAGCCATTGCTAATCTATTGGTGTTTTGGAAGATCAAAATAGATGTAGTTTGTTCGTGGGTATAGAAAGACAAAATTTATAATAGAAAATATATTTTTTTCTAACTAAAACTTTCCTAACTAAACCTTTCTTTTATTAATTAGTTTTCTATGATTTGTATTTAAAGTGGTTCTTCTAAAAATAAAATAAGAAATATATATAAGATACAAGATTTTTGTTTTATAATAATTCATTGTTCCTGACAGGGTATCAGAAAGTCTACAATTTGGAAGTATTAATTTTTGCTCACATCGTTCTTGGCTGATTGGGTTTAGCATCTCCTTTGTCCGCCGTTCGTTGACCGCACTCCTTTCATCTTTCATCTCCGGCCAACCCGGTTCCACTCCACTTGGTGGCTGTGAGTAATTAGCTGGAGTTGGCTCGGAACGACTTGCCATCGGCATTAAGTTGTCGAATTGCGATTCCCAAAACTCGTCGAGGGTTTAGCCTTGACACGCAAAGTCGGGCTAATCCGGAGCCATTGTTCTAGTTTCTTCTTTTTGGCGTGGGTGTTTCTTTGGGTTGGGGCCATAAATTAAATTGAAAATTGAAGCCGGCGGGTATGCTCCCCTTGTTTGGAGGAGACATGCTCCTCCACTGCATTATGTCTGTCATTTGTACTTGTTTGTCCGTCCAGATGCAACTCGGCACGCTCCTCGGCCACCAGCT